CACACACACACACACACACACACGTGTTCAGGCTTACAGATGAGAATCAGTTAAGGAGCAAAACATCTCAGGAGAAGTTGAAAGAACGGAGCCACTCTGGTGGAAATGGTTCAATATTTGAACAGGGATCCTCTATGTTCTCCTTATCACGGAGAGGATAAGGTGTGTGTGTGTGTGTGTGTGTGTGTGTGTGTGTGTCAAAGTGGCACTCATGCCCTGTTGGTTCTCGCTCATTAAACAGCATTAAAACGCTGTTTGTGGAAACCACTTATCTCCAGAGTGTTCTGTGTCTCAGTGAGGATGCTGCCGTTTAACATGATGTTCAAAACACGTTTAGGATTCTTTACATTATATTTTAGAAGATGTATTAGAATAAGCATTCGATATTATTGTATTGTATTCATCATTAGAGTATAATCCGAGTTCATTGTTTCAGATTGGTCCCAGTGTTTGTTGGATGTACTCATGTACGCATCACTATGTTGTTATGTTGTAAAATCAAATGAATATATTATATAACTTCATGAACTCAAAATAACCACCGAACTCAGAGACGTGGTTTTCATCAGTCGCAGATGTTCCAGTTCATTTCTAGTGCACGTGCGGCTCATGCACGCGCAGGGATGTACTGTATATACCACTGTGTCTATGAGACGACCATGCACATGATAAAAGCCTCACGCGCAAGTGTGTGCGCGAGTGATGCCACTGACGGCGCTCTCTTCCAGATGTGTATTTGAGCGTGCGTGTTAATCGCCTCATATCTATCAAAAATATGCATCCCATAATGAGCGGGTGCACGTGCGTGCGGGTGAATGACACACTGACCTCTCCGTTTCTCCGGAGTTCGGGTCCCGGCTCGCTCCTCTCTCCCCCCGCACAGCCCGGACAGCAAGCCCGGAGGCGGTCACACGGTTCCCGGTAAAAAAAAAATGTTGATATGAAATTCACACACGAGGCTGCTGTCTGAAGGTTGCGAGTTTAAATCCCCATCCTCTGGATTCCTCGCGCGTCCGCCCCACCACAACCCTCCTGTCCTCGCGCCCTTCTCTCTCTCTGGTTTCTTTCTGAAAGCACCGGCAGGACGCCAGTTCTCCTGTAAGTTGTCCCGTATTTAAGGAAACAAATTCCGCTTCAGAGTCGCGCTGACATCCACATCGCTGTCACTTTGGATCAACGGAACCTGCCGGTAAACTCCGCCACGTGTCCCGCGTGTTAAGACATTAACCGTCCTCAACACCGGGTAAGGACAGTTGAAAGAAGGGCTTTTAGTTCTGGATTTAACGCGTGAGCGATCCGTCCGTGCGCTCTGGACACGGACACGCGACTGAAGCTCTTTACGCACGGCGCGTAAAATGCCCAGTGAATGATCACGGGAGGAGAGGGGTTTTCATTTATGTGGGGAGTGGAGGCGAACTGAGGGAGGAAGAGGAGGGGAGGAAGAGGTGAGGTGAAAAACAGAAGGTGAGAAAACATAAGAGGGGGGGGGATTGTTGTTGGCAAAGGGGGGAGAAGGAGATGGAAGCAGGAGAGGAGAAAAGGAAAAGGAGGTGAAGGTGAGGAAGAGGTGAAGGAGATGGGGAGAGGAGGAAAGGGGAGGAGGTGAAGGTGAGGAAGAGGTGAAGGAGGTGGGGAGAGGAGGAAAGGGGAGGAGGTGAAAGGATGGAAGTGAAGAAGAAAAGAAAGAAAGGGGGAAGAAAGGGATAGAAGAGATGGCTTGAAGGAAAGTAAGAAGAGGATCTGATGCTTCTGGTGAAGAAGATCTTCAATGACGTCCTCACTTCCTAACAGAAGTCCTCTGCCTCCTGTTTCACTGAGATCAACAGTAGGAGGCGCTGATTCTCCAGTCAGCTGCACAAATGAAATGTGTGGAATCAATGTGCAGCAGGAACACGTGTCCATGTCCATGTGCATGTGCGTGTCCATGTGCGTGTACATATGCGTGTGCGTGGACCAGCTGCTGTTGTTCAGGTCAGATACATGTGTAGATATGTTTGCTCCCTCTGCGCTGCCTCTCCTTCCATTGTGTGGTTGCTTGTCTGAGGCTGCGCAGCAGGAGGCGTGTCTACAACACTCATGCTGGTGAGTGAGAACGTGTGACGTTTGTTCCTCGAGGTCACGTTGTTCATGAACGGACCGGTTCAATGGAGGGTCAACCAGTTTCAAACCGGTCTGGAATGTAGAGGAGCTGCTGGTGTTAGTGGGCGGAGCTCATGTTTCCTCAGCGCTACGCTTCGTCCTCTGCACTCTGGATTTATGTCTTTCAATGATGTGTTTTGTAATTGCCGTTCCGTTGAATACTAATGCTTCGTCACCGGCCTTACATTAAAAACCATGTTCACCTTGAGCATCAGCGCTGTACTTCATGTGTGACGTGACCGGCTCTGCTTGTTGCTAGCATGTCCTTTCACAATAAAATGCATTGTTCACAAGAAACATGTAGTTTCTGCTCATTTTTTACATAAACTTCCGTGTTTACAGGACATGTATAGTTTCTGCTCGTTAAACCCAAAGTGTCTTTTCAAAATAAACTAACTCGCTCCAACGGTTCGCTTAGTTTTTAGGTTTAAATAAGAAACAGAGTTACTTGGTTAGGTTCTAGAATGATCGGGGTTTGGATTAAAATCAGTACATTTGTTGTGTAAAATAAGTTAGTTTGTTACTCAACAGAACTACAGTAACATGATGTAGCTTCACACTAGCAGTGGCCTCCCGTGTGTCTGACCCCCGGTGGTTGAGAGGAGTAAACACGTGCATCACCTGCACTGAAATCTTCAGGATTATAACGTTACAGTTTATAAATAATTCAATACCAGTGGGGGAAAAAACATGAAAAACAATCAAATATACATGCAAGTGAAGTAAAATAAAAACAAAACAGAATTGAGTAAGATTAGAAACATATGAGGTTCAGTAAGACCAATAAAAACATCATAAATGCATAAATATGTTGTGTAAGCCATATGTATATTAATGAGTCAGAATAAAAGCTGCCCTACGCTGCTCCTTCACAATAAAAGACCCCTGAAGACCTTGGTGACGAAAGTCAAAGCGACACTCGTACAGGAATTTAAAGAACGTGGAATGTCTGTGTGTGTGTGTGTGTCATCAGGAAGCCTGCCTTCCATCGAGTGCACTCTGTCATGCGTGTGTGTGTGTGTGTGTGTGTCTGTGTGAGAGTGTTTACATGTGCTCATGGATGGGTGAATGTGTTGCGTGTCCAGATGACACTCTGGCTTTGAGTCCAGATGTTCGCTGGTGCATGAAGTGTGTGTGTGTTGTGGTCTGTAGCCGTGATGGGAAAGTGTTGAAGGTCTCGGTGACACCACAAGGACTCAGACTCCCATCATGCAACAGGTCGGTCAGCGTGTGAGAGGACATTATCTTTAGTTATTCATATCTTGTCATGATCATAACATTCTGTAATAATCTGTTATCAGTACGGATGATGTACGGTGCTTCTCTATTTCACCTTTTTATTCTTGTGGTGAAAGTACATCTGATCAACTACTTTGCTGAAGTAGTTTTGATGTATTCACACTCGAGTACGTTCCTGTTCTGCTACTTTGTATTTCTACTCTACTACAGCTCAGAGGTAAATATCTAATACTCAACTACATGTTGAGTAATACAGGCCGTCTGTTGCTACACAGCAGCGTAGACATCCCCCGAGATGAATCTGTATGTAATCCACATAATCATAAACCAGGAAGACACCAGAAGTCAACGGTGATTTATTTGTGACTTAATCATCTCCTCCTGAACCTAACAACGTAGTTTTGTTTCCTGAACCTCACTAACTTTATTTTGAAAAGCTCGTATTCATGTGAAGAGCAGAAATTGTCGCTGGTTGAACTTTTGCAGCAAAACGCATGAAAATGGGAGAAACCTCTGGTGCGATGTACAAACCGCTGAACGAGGATCCGTTTAATCACAGAAGTGTTCACAGAACACGCCGAGACCTCCTGCTCATGTCACATGCTTCTGTGACGTCAGGTCGATCGCAGCCCGTCGTTGTAAAACAAGAACTTTTAATGGACGTAATGTAGATCACAGGCGCTGCTGGGTGCAGCGTTCCCCTCAGTACTGGACCAATAAGATCATAAGATCACATGAGAAGACAAAGAGTGAAAGATCTTCCACAGAAACACATCCTCCGTCTACATGCAGCCTTCCTCATCCTCATCCTCTCACATGTTCCACATTGTTCTGTAATAGATTATTAAACAGCTCGTGAGTTGGCCTCATTAACAGGCCCGTTACAGAGCAGCATGCTGTCTGTGGTTACCGAGCACGCTGTTTCATTAATCGTGGTACTGTGGCATCACAGAGGCACAGCTACCGCTCACATCCACGCTTCATGGACACGTCTCAGAGAGCTGTGGGTCTCACATCCTTCCTGTTTGTGTGTTCGTCCACTTTCAGGAGAAACACCAACAGAACTACTGCGCTGAAGCTTTGCTGATGCTGATGCAGCAGGAAGCTGCACGACTAGATCCTGAAACCTCTCCGCTGCACGTCAGGACCACCAGCAGACTGTGAACAGCAGACTTAAGGCTTCAACAGATGATGATGGGAGCAGCGAGGGAAGCGAGAGGAAACACACTCCTTCCTTTTCAACAGCTACAATATGAAACCTTCTGCCTGCAGGCAGTTTGGTGTTTTGTCTCGAGACGATGAGAGGAAGCGCCACGTGAAGGCGCTTCACTTAGTTCTGACGTGTTCTGCTGAGACGCTGGAAGACTTGAACAGACGCTCATCAGCTGGACTTCACTGGCTTTAGCAGTATTAAGAGTTGGATGCTAACATGCCAACATATTCCTTGCTAATCTCCGCGCCTGGAGATGAAACATTGAAAATATAACTTTTTAATGCACGTCTAAAAACCATAAGAGCGGTTTCTAGTGGTGTGATCGGCCCCAAAGTCACAAAAAAGAACAACGAATAAACATCTAATTAAAAGGTATAGATGTTATTTTCTAGGTGGGTTTATTGATGTTTTATTAGCCGCATGAGAGTTGATTAAATAACAAGTACATTCACCCAGGAGGTGCTGGGCTCGTGGTGCACACTGGGTCTTAGTGTGTGGGATGCAGAGGACAGAATCAAACATTATGCTCGTCAGCAGCACAATGTGCCATTAAAACGCTGCGTGTGAAGCAGATGGCCTGCAGGCTGCTTTCATTTCCATAGAGCTGAACATAAGCAGAGAGCAGGTTGTTCTCTGGGGATAAAGAACAAACACACACACACACACACACATTCACTGCTTCCACACCAGTTGTCCTTGCTGCTGTGAACTGTTGATGAACCAAATACTCACACTTGATTAAAAGCAATCAGGCGTCAGAATGTTTATCTGGTGAAGAACCAACACCTCGCAGGAAACCGATGATGCTGCAGATCAAACATCACATAACGAGTCCTCATCCTAATGTCGTATTATTTGTCATATAAACATTGTCCTTCTTGCCAAGAACAAGCTTCGATCTTTCCTCTTGTTATCAGTTAAATCCCCGAGCGTCAGCATCCGGCCTCTCATTGTAACGTCATTTCAGCTGCGTAGCCGATGACACACGTGTGATTTAAGTTGTGTCCTGGGTGAAAATCATGTGATTGTTCAACTCCTCCAACCAGCACGACCTCCTCCTGGAGCGTTGACTCTGAGTAGTAATGAGGCGTGCGTCTCATGGATGCACCGCCATAGAAACAGCTTGCAGCTCGTGTGAAACGACAAGTCAACGAACGGTCTCCTACAGGTCACTCTGTCGCTTCCTGTGAAGACGGAGGTTTATTTTGAAAAGACGATGCATATAACTCTGCTCTCAGGGATTGATCGGCGCTCATTGCACTTTGTGAAACCACTTGTTTCAGCTGTAATTGAACAGGAAAGCGAGTGTGAGGAGCAGACTGAGCACAGACGGACGGAGAAGTGCTTTATTCTGCAGGAGTTCTTTGAAAACCTTCACTGGCTTCTTTTAAGTGCCATTTTCCACCACTCTAGCGATGAAAAGTAGGTCAGTCCATCCACCACTTTACGGTCCCGAAGGATGAATCTCTCTGATTTTAATGATCCTCCGACTCTTCCTTCACCGTCCCTGTGTGGTCCATATTTGTTGTTTTTTGGTGAAATGTTTCTAGAACTACTGGACGGGTCGGTGCAGACGTACATGATGCCCGGAGGACCAATCCCAACCAACGGCCTCATATATTCCTCTCTAGCTCCACCTGCTGCTCAGCACTGGACTTGTCCACTACCGTCTCCGGCTGGAGAACAAATGTAAAGTTGAAAGTAATGTTTAATGTGCAGATGAATCTGGAAGTGAAACAGAGTCTTTAAAAACAGATTTTAAAGTACGAGTTAAAGTAATCAAATAACTGCATGGAGGTCCATGTAGACCGCTAAACGTCCATCT